TTGGCCAAAGGAAAATCTAGCAATCTAATTAGACCATCATCATTAGCAGTTAGCGGTTGACACCTAACCCTATCAGGAACGTGATAACCAGATTTTTTCAATTGAGGGTTACATTCAGAGCAGACTTTAATTATCCCAATAAACATACAAGATTACATCAACAAGCAAGCGTTTTGTGCTACACAGTCTGTGTATTCATCTCTAATGAAAATGTGACCCCCTTAAATCCCATCCATCTCGGGTTCTGAAGCAGTAAGAGATTTTCTTTGCATTATTTTTGTTCTGTTTAGATTATTTGAAGCATTTTGCTCAAAGGAATGGCGAAACATTTAACACTTTCAAGGTACAAGTGATTGTGCAGAATTTTTTCTATAATAAAAAAGTGTCTTATGTTAAAAATCCCATCATTTTAGCCTTTCTTTAGTTTAAATCCCTCAGGCTGTAATGACTGAAAAATCAGAAAGTACAAAAGTTGTTGGGATGGACAGGATTAGCTGCTTTTTGTTTTTAAACAGATACATTCAGGACAGTAAGAGACAGATTTTTTTAATGTATGTAGGTCCCTGAGGATGGTGTTAGTGGGAAGAGGGTAGCTGTGCTTCTTGAAACTCTTAGCAGGCTTTTATCTTTTTATCTGCATCTCTAAAAAAGGTTTGCAAAATATCTTACTTAAATAGTAGTAAATTTGAAAAAAGGCTGAGTACTCTTTTATGGTATTGCATGTTCCCTGATGGAGAAAAAAGGAAGGTGGTCAGTGATACTGGTAAACTAATAGTGACTATTTAGTTTCTGTGCATTCGACATTTTGAGGTTTTTAATTGCAGATACAAAATCTTGACTTGAATTCGGATAATTTTAATTTCACTTCAGCACAGGAGTGGGACATTTTAATTGTACCTGTTTTCAGTCATGCCAATCATTCTTTCAGGATGTTTTGGAGGAAATTTCTCATCTGAATACAACTCTTGGGAACAGTTTATTTTGCTATTTTCTTCGTAAGCAGGGATTTCACATGTTAAGAGGCAGGGATGCAGGCAAAGAGGGAGTCACTGAAAACTGTTAAAAATGTGCTCTCATAGTCATAGGGAAATATTTAATTGTATACATCTGCTTGGCAAAATGTGATTTGTCTAATGTACCTTGTACATTATAACTTCTTTCTGAGTATCCTCAGATCTTCCCTTAAATTCCCAGACTTTGGGCCCAGAAGCTGCTCTTTACTTTGGGAGGCATCCTTCATGCTGTCAAATTCCCCATTCTATTCTCCACCTTGTTCTCTTGCTCTTTATTATTTACACATCCTGGGTGAATACATCCTTGAGAAACGCTCTATCTGCATGCAGACTGTAGGCTAAAAAGAGTAAAAGGACTGGGAGCATCAACTACAGACCTGTCTTTGGACACAAAGTCCACCTTCAATGGAGAACCCATTCAACTCTGGACCTTGGAATGTAAGAAAAAGAGATTGCCAGCTAACAGCTGCTGTTAGCAGCACAACCCCAGATAAAATAATCTTTAAACTGTTCACCTTTAAGCTGTCAGTGGCCCGAAGACACCATCTCCCAGTTGGCACACTACCACTGAGACCCGTTAGCCCTGTATGTGCCAAGTCTTGTGTGAACACTGGAACACTATCACTGGCACCAGTGACAAGCACACTGGTCCCCAGGTACCTGCTGGAACCCAAGAGAAAAGCTGGGAATGGCAGAAATCTGTCCCTGCTCTCGGTTCTCCAGCAACAGCCTTGGTCCAGGTGGCTGCAGTGGTTCTGTTTTTCATATAAGCAACTTGACCACCTTCCTCTTCTACTTTCTCACTCCATTTACTGGAAAACCTGACAAGATGGCAGTGTACCCACTTCTGTGGCAGTTTCCTCTGACAGCCAGACAAATTGGTCATTGTTCCATTTCTTTGCCATTCATCATTATTTGGGTTTCCCCTGCAACCCACCAGAGAGGGGAACAACAGTTTCCCTTGAGCTTGAAAACTCCTAGTTAAAAGCAGCTGTTTGTCAGTGAGTGTGTGGTCCCCCAGATAAGTATTTCTGGTAGGGAAATCTTCAGTGCACTAGACGGATATACTTATTTTTTAATTTAAAAGCAAGTATTAAAAAAAAAAAAAAACAAAAGCCAATTTTGCAAACTTACCCTGAGAACACTGAAACCACTCAAATTTGTAGGAATATCAGTCAGGTGCTATCTGGACATCAGGTTATGTGCTGTTCCATGTATTTGGAGGATCAGGGCTTTAGTTTGCAAGATCTACAGGGGCTCAAAGATGCAATTTAATCAGCTTCAGAGAATTGGAAATGAATTTGGCTTGTAAAGTATGGTGCAGTGGAAGCCTGCAGAGCTCTTCCTCATCACCTCTCTCCCTCCTGTGATGATGCCCATTGGTAATGTGCTCTTTGACTAAAAGAATTGACTCTGCGATGCTTTTTAGTTAGGCTGTTTACAGGCCTCCTAATGCTGTTGATAGTGGTTGTTGTGATGGGCAGGATGGCACAGCTGCCACACTCAGTCTGGGGGAAAATCATCTTCTCTTCCACACAACTGTTTATGGTCCCATCAAACTACACCAAAAGAACTACTGATGCAAATTCACAACAGCGCATATGTAGAACCTATGGATGCCATCCTTATATAGCAACTATGCATTTTGTTATAGTTACATATTTATTCAGTGTTTCCCTTTCTTTGCTCTCAGTTTGGAAATAAACTTTCTTTTAAAACAATTATTACTGCTCTTTCTTTCCTTCTCTATTCCTTTTATCCTTTCCTCTCCTATCTTTCTCTTTTCTTCAGAAATACTTTCTTCTCTGTATAAACTCTGAATTGTCCCACTTAACCTGTCACAGTGATTAGCAATTCGTTAAAGTCTATCCTGTAGACCTTCTGAATTTCAGTTTTGCCACTTACCCTCACTAAATAGCTGTGTCTGTAGACTCCAGAAAGCAATGCAGCACCAGTTATATTTAGGTTGAGTTTGGGAAGGAAACTGCAGTGTTGACATTTCAGGGGCCAGGATTTATTGAAAGCTTAAATTCTTTAATTTTTAAAGAAACGGGAACTTCATATATGAGTGAAGCAAGCCACAGGTAGTTGCTAAAATGGTTTGAGTCACGTATTAGGAATTGCTTTGCATGTCCCTCTGTGGGCTATTAATTGGAAAAGAGATGAAGGTTTTATTTTTTTAATAGCCTTCTTTTACATCATCTGTTCTAAAACTCAAATGCTTCAGTTAGCATTTGCTATACAGTGCATTTCAGTTTTTTTAATGAGTATTTTTCATTGGGATATTATTGTGTTTGTAAACTATTGCAGCATGTGTCTACAGCAGTTGGCTGATGTAGTCTTACCTCTGTAAGTGCTGCCCAATCCCATTTTCATAAGTTATGTTGGCTGCTTTCAGTTTTCTGAAACTAGTTTTCAGGGGGTTCCCATAATCTCAAAAAGTGGGTTCTTGTGGCTTGCCACTGCTTGTCCTGAAAACAAAAACTGTCTTAACCTTTCAGGCCATTGAAAGCATGAGAAATAATCGGGGATGTGATATTTAAGCAGAAATGTTTCTGTGTGAGCCTTCCAAAAGAAAAGGGTGGTGACCCACACGTCTGGAGCAAAACCATTTCACTGCGCAGGCACAGGGAGTGTGAGTACAGAATTATATTGACAGCTGGTCTGCTTAGCTAAATTAATTTAAATTGCTCTTATGTTGGTAGAGTGCTGGTGGCAGAAGCCATCGCCTGGCTCAGTCCCTGCCAGGTAGGGCTGAGAGCTGTTGGGGGTGGGCTTGGAGAACAGCAGTTGTGTGAAAAGGGGAGAAAAAAGTATCCCTGTATTTTGGGGTTTGGGCCTCAATAGAAAATCTGTCTAAAGTAATCACCAGTTGGAGAAATGTCCGTTTTAGCAGGCAGCAGCAAAGGGCCACCAAGCCTTGCTGTTGACCACAGCCCTTCCTTCATCATCGGGAACATCTGCGCCCCAGCTGCAGGAGCTGGAACCGTGTCCAAAGTTGCTTCTGAGGCTTCTGCCCGTGGACATCAGGGACCAGCAAGAGGAGATTGGCAAACAATGGGAACATGGTTAAGTACAAACTTCTATTTTCTATTGAGTGGACCTTAGGTGTTTTGGTCCATTATCTTTGAAGCTTTCAGACTCATGGCAAGACCTTCCTGTAGACGCTCCTGCAGTGGGGAAAAACTGGGTTTTTTTCCAGCCCCTTTGTTACCCAAGGGGCTCATTTTAGGTTGATTTGGTACAGGAGAGGGATTGGTAGGTTTATTTTTTGGGTTACATTTAATCAAGGTGGTATGAGATGGAAAATGAAGCTGAGAGGCTTCTGTAGGGAGATGGCACCCGCTGTAAATCACAGTAAAGTGTCTTGTGGAGCATGGGGTGAGGTACGTGCAGCTCCTGTGTTTCTGAATGCATTTGAAATCACAGAATAGAGTTATTTAGAAGGCGTTTTCTTTTTGTTTTGTGAGAAAAGGCGGTCTGCACCCGGCCTGAAAGGGATTGTTATTGTTTTCGGGCCCACAACAAGCAGGTTTTTTGCCCGTTCTTCTCCCAGCCAACCAGGAGCGAAACACCCTGGCCTGAGGCGGGGAGTCCGCCGGGATGGGCGGCTCACCCTCCCCGGGCGGGACCGGCCCAAGATGGCGCCCGGCCCGCGCCTCACCGGCGGACACGTCCCTGCCCCCGCCCCGCCCCCCCGCTCGGCTCGCGGCGTTCGCGCCAAAGCACCCCGTGACGCGGCCGTGCGTAGGCCCGCCCCCGCCCTCCGTGTTTTCAAACCCAGGGGGCGGGCGCGATTGGCTGGCGCGCGTGCCACGTGATTAACGGTCGCGGGAAAGCCGCGGAGTCCGAACAGCGCGAGGCGAGCCGTGCCCGGGGGCAGCGCTGTGTGCGGAGCCGCCGCCGCACCCAGGGGCGCAGCGGGGCAGCGCGGCGACAGCGGGCGCGGCCGGGCTCGGCCCTCAGCGGAGCTCACAGCGAGCCGCCATGAGCTTTCTGAGCTTGCAACAGGCGGCGCCGCCGCGGCGGGTCTCGGCACGGCGGGCGGCCGCTCCGATCCGGCAGAAGCTGCTGTTCCTGAGCGGCCACAGCGACTGCGAGGAGGAGGAGGAGGACGAGGAGGAGGAAGGCGGCAGCAGCGGCAACAGCACCGGCGGGGACTCGGCTTTCCAAGAGGCGGACTCGCCGCTCTCGGCGGCTCGCACCCCTGCGCGGGGCGACCCGCCCCTGCTGGAGGAGGAGGAGGACGAGGAAATGGAGCCGGCGGCGGCGCCGCTGCCGGACGAGGGGGACTCGTGGGAGGAGGAGGGGTTCGGCTCCTCTCCGGTCAAGTCGCCCGGAGCCTATTTCATGGCCGGCTCGCCCTCGCCGCCGCCCCCCAACAAGGGCCGCCGCTACTGCGGGCGCTCCCCGCCTCACCCGGCGGCCAGCGCCTACCGGGTGCGGAGCGAGGAGCCCAGCTCGCCGCTACCCGACTACCCCGGCACCCCGCCGCACAAAACCTTCCGTAAGCTGCGCCTTTTCGACACGCCGCACACCCCCAAGGTGAGCGACCCTCCCGGGGGCCCCCCTAACCGTGGTGAGGGCGGAGGGGGGGAAAGCGCTGGGCCGGGCAGGGCGCGGACGGACGGACGGGCCCGCCCCCGCTGGGCTCGAGGGCTGCGGGAGGCGGCGCGCTCGGCGGTTGAAGCGGG